CGGGCGCCGGCGCGGGCTCGGGCTGCTCCTCCGCGGCGCCCTCGCTCTTCTCGGGCTCGGCCTTGGGCGCCTCCTCCTTGGCCGCCGCCTTGTCGCCCTCCTTCTCCTCCGCCTTGGCCTCGCCGTCCGCGGCCGCGTCCTTGGGCTTCTCCTCCGCGCTCTCCTTGACCTCGGCGGCGTCGGCGGCCGCCTGGGGCTCGCTCTCCTTCGGGGTCCCCTCCTCCTCGGTGCCCGCGCCTTCAGCCTTCTTGTCCTTGTCCTTGGCTTTCTCGTCGTTCACATTGTAGCCCTTCTTCTTCTTGCTCAGCTTGCCTCCCATCTTGGAGTTCTGCAGGGAAACACAAGGAGGGACATTGGGGCGTTACAGCCAGGCAGGCGACCGTGCAGGAGCGCCCCCCCCCCCCGCGCCGAGTGAGGGGTCAAGGACTTCAGGCAATCAATTGCACAGGGGTGGGGGACCCAGCAGCCTGGATGTCACAGGCATTCTGCCTCCCTTAGAAGTAACACGTCGAAAACAAAGAACAAAGAAAGGAAAGCCTCAGCCATGCAGCCCGCAGGCCAGCCAGTGGAGGGACTCTTAAGGGGATCAAAGAATCGATTGAGTGGGCCCCAGCTGCCAAAACGGAGGACAGGTGGGGTGGCATGGTGTTGGTTTCTTATCTGTCTCCTAATATCTGTCTTAAACATCCAGGATTGAACACGGCAGCACAAAATGGCAGGGACAGCCATTTTACAACTACAGTATAGTTGGTTTAAAAAAAAAAAAAAAAAAAAAACAATGTAACAACAACCTCATCATTTACAAATAACTTCTGAAGAATCTGCACAGCACACATCAGAAATCTGTCGACACCTATTGCTTCCGGAAGCATGTTTTTAGAGCAACCTATGCCTGTGAGAAATCACTGAGATGTTGCTTTCTTGAGAAATTTTGTTTTTCGTTCATGAAAGATGGCAAAAACTTTTCAACGCTAACATTCCACTGCCCTGTTGGTCTCCGCAAGACGAGTAGGTCAGAGGAGAGGCATGGTGCAGGGCCACAGGACACAGCAGAAACTCTTGGTGAGCTCACCTGGTGCTGCTGGGGCAGGACCCTGAGCTCTCCTCACCCAGTTCTCTTCCACCCCTTACTATCATCCATTCAAAGCAAAGAATGCGCTTTTTCTTCACTACACCTCTTGTGATCACCATTCATGATAGTGAAATAACCCACGATTTTTTTTTTTGAAAGTTGGGTGTTAGAGTACTATTCTTCAGTCAAAATGTGTCTCACCATTCTATGCTAATTTCCTGTCTGGGCTGACTTCAAGAGTTGGAGGAGACAGGGAAAAAGAAAAAAACACAAGGATGACTAAATTGTTCTTCCTATTTTCAGGAAAGGTCTTTATCATGTCATCCAAGAATTGCCGCTCTGCTTCTTAAAAGGGGAAGGAACGGCTTGGAGTCCTAACCCACTTCAAGCAATTGGTCCCATTCTACTTAACTTTCTGTTGGAGCAAATACATGGTGAAACCACAATTAAAAATATTTTACCACTAAGCAATAAATGAAAATATAAACTTGAGTAATAAGTTAAATTGTAATTTATAACACCTTCATCAAATTCTTAGATGCGTTACCAGTTGTTGATATTACACATGACTTTAGCTCCTATCCTATACTCCAAGTTACATTTTGGTGCATTTGGTTGAATTAGGAAACAGGAAACCTGACAGTCTACCTTTAGATTCTTCTCCCAAGTGTATAACAGAAAGTCATACACCGACCTAGGAATTACAGCCTGTGAAGCAGAGTAAATGTAGTCTCACTGTGAACAAAGAATGGAGCTCTGGGTTCTGACACCCACAGTATGAAATTCTATATAGCAATCCCCAGAGGTTTAAAGTCCTGTTGGTTTACAAACCTAAAATCTAGGATACTAAAATTGGTTTTCTGAAACACAATGAAAGCCACATTCTATTCTTTGTCTTAAGCCCAGCTGTGACTCTTTTCTTGGTAGAAATTGAACAAACACACAATCAAGCTGTAAGAGAATGTGTCTCAATAATGTCGATTTTTTAAACGCAAACACCCTGGGCTTGCAGCTGATTCACCTGTGTGAAATACAGCAGAGCCCAGGGGGAGGCTTCGGAAATGCAGGAGAGTCCCGGGAAAGCAGTTGTCTGGTTATTTCCCACAAGAATATGAGCGAACACCTCCCCAGCATGCAGAGGGGTAAATTACAGTTACAAATTAAAATCTAAGGTGTCAGGAACAGTCCTAACCCTAAACAATTTATCTACATCTTTAACCACCTCAAGAGCATCAAGAGATGCAATGGTGTGCCATTAGCGTCTGCCTTTTACTGAAAAGGGAATTCTAACTAGCTGAGTTCATGAGGCTGTGCGATAAAACAAAGGTCAAAGCCAAAAAGAATGTGTTGGAGCGAGAAGCACCACCTGGCAGGTGATGGGGGAACTCTGCCCACTAAGAAGCGGAGCCCTACACCCAGGAATGTTACCTTTCGGGATTCTGAGGCAAGACCTCCCAGAATGGCCCAGAGCTCAACAGGTTGAGAGGACACAGGATACAGAAGAAACTTCCCAGGCACTGTCTAGCCTAAACCTCTCCTCCCCCTACTTGCCAGCAAAGCTCTTCTATTAGGTCCCTAAGACATAAGAGCAAGCAAGGAGCATGGGCCTGGAGTCGAATGAGTCCTCTCCTTCTTAAGACTTCTTTTTTTGAGAGAAATAATTTAGACTAGAAAGTCAGAACACTTGAGTTTTAGAAAAGTAAAAATAGCCACAAGGCTGGAGAGATGACTTGACAGCTTAAAGGTGCTTGCTGCTTGTAGGGATTGGAGTTTGGACCCACAACCCACTAAATACCTGTAATTCTAGCACTAGGAAGGTAGAGACCAGGGATGCCTTGAGCAAAATAACTAGCCTGGCCTTAACAACTAGCTATGGGTGCCATTGAGAGAACCTGTCTTGATGAGTAGAGAGTAAGACTATCCGGAGAGACTCTGGACATCCATCTTGGGCCTTGACACAGACAAGCAAACATTTGCACACACACATTTGCACATACACCACACACATGCCTACATGAGAAAGGTGGCATGGTGGGGGAGAAATAGGTATCTTGAGTCAATGAGTAATGTCTTGGAAGTTCCTTAAGCCTAATCCAAAATGGCATCGAGAGCACCAAGCTTGCCTTAGCATTTCCTCACAGTTAGGATGTCCACTAGCAACAAGTGGCAGGCACTGTGGAAAAGCATGGGCAGATGCCGAATGCACGAATGACTGGAGACGGGTGTGTTCATGTGAGGGCAAACCCGAGAGGCCCGTCTCGCCTATGACACCTCCACGCGAAGCACCTTCGACATTTTCTTGTAAAAGGGCAAGAACGCTCTCTGCCACAAGAGCCAAAATGACAGAATCACAGTTTGAAATACACATTTAAAAAAAAAAAAAAAACCATAACTAGCATCAAATAGCAGAGGGAGAAAGAGGGCCGGGTTCGCTATGATGAACAGTGATGTTTGGACATTAGGCCATGGTTGAGCCATGAGCCCCGCCTCCAAAGTACACCTGCCTTGAATTCTCTGAGCAAGCAAGGAACCCTGTTGTCTCTCCATTTCCTGTAAAATAATAAATGTCAATTTCGTGGGCATTTAAAGTGAGGTAACAGTACAGTGTCTGACTTTTCACAGGCCTGCCGAGATCTTGGTTCCCCTCCCCAATGCATCATTTTACAATTCCAGAGAATTCTGCACTTACAAACATGAGCAGAATCGCAAAAATTAGGTTCTCCATAGGCAAGTTTTAGAACCAGCCATTAGAAACGCTGTGATTAAAACACTGTTTAAGTGTGCCGGGCGGTGGTGGCGCACGCCTTTAATCCCAGCACTCGGGAGGCAGAGCCAGGCGGATCTCTGTGAGTTCGAGGCCAGCCTGGGCAACCAAGTGAG